TTACGCACATACTTTTAAAAATTTGTACACACATAACTTTTAAACCCTTGTCGTCAATTTCCATTGGTATATCTATTAATAAATTACATCATAAGCCCTTAAGTTTATAGGCGTATAATACTTAAATCCCTCAAATTTAAAATATTATATTTAGACAAAAAATACTTCAATCAAAAATAAAATATTATATATTTTAAATTTTACAACTAAAACTCGTGTTCTATTGTATCATTTGTTGAAATAAAATTAATAATAAAAATTTATTTTTTTAAAATAATTGTAATTAATATGCAATTATACTCTATTGGAATAAAATTAAAAAATAAACAAGGGGTTTAAGTTATTCATAATAGAACATGAATTTTATAACCAAAATTCATGTTCTATTATGTTATTTATTAAAGTAAAATTAAAATTAAAAATTTATTTTTTAAAAAAATCATAATTCGTATAAAATTATATTATCTGTTGGAATAAAAGTAAAAAATAAATAAGAGGTCAAATTATAATATACACAATATATTCTAACTTTAATAGGGGTAATTTGGTAGTTTAAATGATCAAATTAAATTTCAATAGATAGTATAATTGTATAATAATTATGATTTTTTAAGAAAAAGTTAAATTTTTATTTTTTGATTTTATTTCAATAAATGTTATAATAGAACATGAATTTGGGTTGTAAAATTTAAAATATTTGATATTCAATCTTTAACTGGAATATTTTTAATTTAGTTATAACATTTTAAATTTGAAAAATCTAAGTATTACATGTCTACAAACTTCAGAAGGTCTGAATGTAATTTATTAACGAATATAATAACAGACATTGATGGCAGGGTCTAAGTGTTACATGCATATAAACTTCAAAGAGTCTGTGTATAATATTTTAAATGTTAAGAAATCTGAGTGATTAAGTGACAAACTTTAAGAGGTGAGGGTCTAATTCTCTTTAAACTTTTTTGACCATTTGTTTTTCTGCCATCAGATTTTCTCGTGTTTATATATCTTATTCTTCAATCTCAAACTCAATTCAACTCAATTGATCAATAAAGTAATTTTATGAAGTTTCAGACATTGACCTAAATAAGCTTGAAAAAAAAAACTTTGATTGTGAGATGAACAACGGGCAAATTGCACTTTATACCTAAAAATATTTTAAATTTCTTACTTTATATCCTAAAAGATTAAATTTTTTATATTATATCATTAATGTATCAAAAGTGTAGTACTATAATTCCTTCTATTAGCTTTTCGTTAGTTTTTTCATCAGTGTCAATGAATTGGCTTGTGACAAAAAAATAACGGAAACTAACAGAAGGGTCATATAATAACACTTTTGATATATTGAGAATACAATGTGAAAAATTTAATTTTTAAGAGTACAAAATGAGAAACTTTAAATCTTTCATAGTGTAAATTACCACAAACTCTTATACAAATTACATATTCAACTCAAATTTCAAACTTAAATGCGTCACTTGAATTCTATTTTTGTACTTAGAATTTGAAATATTAATCAAACTTGTTTTCTCATTTTTTTGGGCTTTCAGCACTTTGCACACCAAAAAATGTCTCAATTTTTATTTTGCACACCGAAAAATTATTTTTGTCACATTGCATCTTGAATATCATAAATTAGTTCTAATGTGACCCTCGAACTAATATCTATTTCAAATTCTTTTAAAAATTGATGTACATGGCAGCAACACATGTGGGTGGTACTGACATGACATTAATTTTTAACAAAATTTGAAATTGATGTTAGTTTGAAGGCCATATTGAAATTAATTTATAACATTTAAAATATAATGTGAAAAAAATAATTTTTCAAAGTATAAAATAAAACCGAGACTTTTTTTGGTGTGCAAAATGCGAAAAGCCCCATTTTTTTTTCTCTCCATGTGAGTCTGTGACCCCCCCGGCCCACCAAAAAAAAAAGGGAAATTTGGAAGTCGGTCCCTTATATGGACTTAAGTTCGTCAAGAAAACTTATTTGTTATGAAATCCGTTTTTTGTTAATTTTACCATACTATCCCTTCCCTTTAAAAGTGAAATAAAACTAAAAATTAAAAACTCCTAAAACTTAGGAGTTTTACTAACATTAAAATTTCTTCTCTCTCATATCTATCTATATCCATATAATAAAACAGAAGTGTGTTTGAATTTTATCTCAGTCATATTTTTTTCCTTAAAATCATCACCAATCACTAACCTCACCCATCATCTCTTTGTCAGACTCAAATGTCAAATCGCATCACTTATTTCTATCATATATTTAATCATTTATATATTTCTTTCCTAAAAATATCACATCTCACATTTATATCATATATTTAATCATTTAATATTTAATTAATTTGTAGTTAATATATTTTGAAAAAAATTAATATAATGAGATCAATTTTTTTGCCGCTTGAATTTTATATTTTATCGTGCCTTTAGGCACGGGTTATGACTAGTATCCATATATAGGTTAACAGTTTGACTAACATTAAAATTTTTCCTCCCTCTTATCTATTTATATATAGGTTATATATATGTGAGTGTATGTATATATATATATATATATATATATATATATATATATATATATATATATATATATTAAAAATAAAAAATAGTAACATTCAAATACAAAAAAAAAATTATCATTTAAACACATCATTTAAACAAAAATAATACATTTAAATACAAAAAAATAGTAACATTTAAACATAAAAAAATTGAAACATTCAATATTAATATTTTTAAAAAATAATAACAGTAACATGTTCAACAAAAATATTAATATGTTCAACAAAAATAGTAACACGCTTAACAAAAACTGTAACATACTTAACAATAATTATTTCTCTCAAATTCAAACTCAAAAAATAGTATCATTTAAAAAATAGAAATATTCAAAAAAAAAATAGTAACATTGAATATTAATATTTAGGAAAATAATAGTAGTAACACGGTCAACAAAAACAGTAACATGCTCAAAAATAATAGTACATGAACTGTAACATACTCAACAAAAGCAGTAACATGAATAATAACATAATAAAAAAAATAGTAACATGAATTTGAATTTTACTATTCAAATTCATAGTAACTTTTTTTTTGTATTCGAATATTATTATGTTTTTTTTATATATATATATATATATATATATATATATATATATATATGGATATAGATAGATATGAGAGAGAAAAGATTAATTTCTTTTTAAGGAATGATATTTTTGAGATAGAAAAAAAATAAACTTAAGTCATTACATATAATTTTAAACATGAAATTACTCCCTTATAAGTTTCTTTGCAGGACTTATTTCCAAACAAATATATTTAGGAGCTCTCACTTCTAATTTTTTTTAAAAAAAGCGAAAATTCCACGCATATGTATAATGATGATTGATGACAGAAAGGTATCAGGGAACCCAATTGGGTGGCTGTGTTTTTTTTAACGAGTAATGCTACTTTGAAACTCATTGATTATCCTCGATAAATTCTTGCGCTAATCTCAAATTGTACCTTTTAAAGATGATTCAAATTTTAATTTATACCATAAAAGTTTAAAAATATTAATTTATATCTTAAAAAATATAAATTTGTAACAATATATATTTTGCCATTAAAAATGTTTGGGCTAATTACAAATTACATCTTCAAAATTTAAATATTCCACATTTATGATCCAAAAAAAATTTCATTGATTAACACTCATTAAATATCTTTCAATTGTGATGTATCATCACACTTTTGTTTCGTGTCGTGTCATTTTGTATCATGTTTGAGTCAATAAAAAAATATTTTTAACACAAAATTTTTTCTTATTGAGTCAGTTGCATTGTGTTTTATATTTTACATTTATAACAATTTCTATAATACTATTTAAAAAAATTAAAATTATAAAATACATAATTTTTACCTACCATACTTGTTAAATAACTATTTTTTGTCTAAAGTTAGATATGACACGATACAATTGAAAGCGATAAGGATGAAATTTTGGACATGGGCCTCCATGGCCTCGAAGCCCAATAACACCCTGAGAACCCAAAGGCAGGGCTCATTAGCCTCAATGAAGTGCTTCTGATTAGCCCAAGACAGCAGAAAGGGTAAAGTCTAATGACTCCAGAGGACCAGTAGCCCAACCTTGGTCCAATCTAGTACCAGCCAAAGTCTAGTCTGAGAAGGGTGAGCAAAATCTTTGCCCTAGGAGCATCTACCATGCCACGCGTCCAAAGGACAAGGGGACCATCGTTGAAACCTATGACAGTTACAGAGGATGATGGTGTGTAACGATCTAGAGATCATGCACACAATAGCACCAGCTAGCGGAGGCATTTGCGGAGTAAGGACGAAAGGTTCCCACAGGATCAACAAAAAGGTAGGAGGAGCCACCAAGAACCCTAGAAAGAAGGACTGGTATAAATAAAACAGAAAAAACCTACCAAAGCTCTCTCCCATGGCTGAATCCACTCTCGACTGTATTAACTCAGCGCTAGACGTATAACAGACTAAGCGTAAGACATTGTAGAGACTCAGAGCCACTAATCTCGAGATACACATCTGGTCTTAATATACAACCTTAAAGAGCAAGAAATTCCATTATAATGGATGTAGCCTTAGTCTCTTGACTTAGATGAACCACTTACACTCAGTTTCTTCTGCTATTTGCAAATCAATCTTTTCCCCCGTTAAACTCACCAATCTAAGCAATAGCACGTTAATCGGGCCTCGACCATTATTTTCGAGTAGCTATCAAAAGTTATTTAACGAGTATTAATAGATAAAATTCTTTTTAGAGCATAAATCAGGCTATAAATTAAGATTCGAGTGATGTTTCAGGGTGTAAGGTAGGATTAGCCCTATATTCTTTACTGTACAAAGAAGCATTACAACAAACAAGAAGCAAACAAATGACTCACATCATTGCAACAACGCATCTCCAGTGAAATCTAATTTCCACCACTTGGCAACAATTACTTTTCATAACACTTACCACACTATTTATTACTCGGGCATTCTGGGTGATTCTTCGATTTGTCAGAACAGTAGTCATAGACCAGATGTGCTTTTCTAACTTGTTCGTACTGTTGTTTCTGAACAGGGCTGAGTTCCCAGTGCTCTCTCTTGTTCCACTCATACTGGAGAGAATAACACTGCTGAGAGATTGACTTTTGCTGGGTTGGGCAGCCATCTATGTTGAAGTATTGGTAGTGAGCAATGAATGGTGCTTGACTCCAGTTAACCTGTCCTGCCCAATCCGCCTTCCATATGCTTGCCTCTATTTGCATTGGATTTGATGGGTAGTTCACACCAAGTGCTGTGTTGTTCTTGAACACTCTGATGGGTATTTTGTCCACGAAGAACCTGGTAGAGAGAGAGAACCCAGAAAATCTACTTTATGGGAAGAATACAGTAATGGTTGTAGATGAAAGATACCCAACTCAACAAATTCTTGTCCTAATATTTTTTTGATCAACTACATAAATCATGTTATGGCCATTGAATTTTATCAAAGGGTCGTAGATGAATGATGTGCGTATCAAATTTCTTACCAAATGAATGTGTGTGATAGATCATTAAATTCGGGCCAATAATTGAGTAAGACTACTCGGGCTTAGTTCATTTTAAATTCAATTCGAGTTTGAACAATTTTTTAGAATATCTTCAATTCTTACCCTTTTTTAAACTCAAATTTAAATTTGAGAAAAAAAACTCCCAAAAACTTTCTCCATTGCTTGACCCATACTCATATTCAACGAAGGTAGTCTCATTCTTTTACTAAAATTAAGAGAGACTCAAATTTATACCATAATATTTAATTGTGAGATTTTACTCTCCTCTAAAGATCTAATGGTCATATTTATTCTTTTTTAAATTTGTGTTTGACCTATTTAAATTTGGGTTTCTCTTTTTTTACATTTGAGTTTCTCCATTTGAGAGGTTTACACCAAATCAAGTTTTTTACCCTTTTTTTTTTTTACTCAAATTTAGTTAAGGGTTTGAATTTCTATTGAAAATAACCTTTGACTTATTTAAAAAAGGAACTCGAGGGACTCAGCTCGAATTATCAAACCTAACCATATTACAAGGAACATGATTAAGCAAAGGTGGTTGAATAATTCTTACACTATTTGGTATTGGTTCCAGAGAATTTCGTAAGTGTGAAAATCCTTTGTAGGATCAAACCAGAGCTGAAACTTTTGCTCTCTATGCCCATCATCATTAGCAAACACATTTGTTTGTAATGTACCATTGGTGCCCAGAAACTCGAAGTCAATCTCATCATGAAGCTTTTGATCTTTAAAATCTGGGGCCGAGGTCAGCTGTATTCAGATAAACACCAATGTAATCACATATTCTTAAAGTTTGTTAATTTCTTTGTATAAACAATAATAAGCAAACGAGAAAAAAAAAATATTACATAAAGAGTTGAGAGAATTCCTGCAGTTTTTTTGTCTGATATCTTCATCTTTATGCGAAATAATCCAGAGCCATACACCAACTTGGACCTGAATCCGGATCCTGCATGCATAGCTCCAAAGAAATTAGATGAAACATGTAAATGTTATGTCTAGCTCTTGCACACACACACACACACTCTCTCACGTAGACATAGAAAAAAGTACAATATTGTATATATTGATGGTTTGCGTATTCGATGCACATTTATGAATGTATTATAAGAATGGTGAGGCCAATATCTCATGCCCTCCCCAACCCTATTTCATTTTTCTTGTAGTGTAAGAGAGAAAATGTGATAAAGATGACAAGTTAAAAAGGAAAATAGTGAATGAAATTAAAAAAGATAGAATTGCAAAATAAGAAGCGATTATATTGGCAATGTTACGGGAGTAAGAGAATGTTTGTATCGACAACGTGGGTGAATTGAATTGAGAGAAACTAGTTTTTAAAATCTAATAATCCAACATTTTTCTTCCTAATTTGATCACTTTATGTATCAGTAAATAAATACGTGGAGAGAGATTACGCACACATACGCGTGCGCGCGTGTATGAGAGTGAGAGAGAGAGAGAGACCTGAGGACTTATCCAATAGAAGTTGCACTTCACTTCCTTGATTAAGTAGGGTGAAATGATTTAACCCCCACAAAGCAAAGTAGTTTTGATTAAAGGTATTATCAGCTCCATTTGCACCCATGAGAACACCACAAATGAGAATTCCAAAGAGATTTAATAAAAAGGTGGCCATTGAGAGAACCAATGACCCCAACCTCTTCTTAGAGGTTCTAACTATAACTATGAGGAGTCGTGTGCTTAGGTTTCCAATTATATATAATTAAACTATGACCCAGGTTTCTTGTAGTTAAATCAAATCCAAAACTAATTAAGGGAGATCTGCTTAGACATTGCATTAAAGATTCTAACAGTGACTGGCACTGAAATAGGAAAATTACATTTCCACATTGGAAGACCATCACTATATATCCCCTTATATGAAAAAGAAGTGAAAAATAAATTAATGTGATGGATTTAAAATGCTGGATTGAATTGGTTAAAATCGAAGCATTTACACACATGCACCTCCTATCATACTCCAACCCTCCCTCCAACACGAACTTAGACACACGGCATATTGAACCCTCGAATATGCTAAGTTTCAAAGAGAATTCATAAATCTCCGTTTTCATCGAAAATTGAATGGAATTTTCTTGTATTTCGATCGGAGAACCTAACAGAAACATTACTGTACAGATTCTGGCCAAAAAATGAGACATTCCATATTCTTAGAGAGTGTTTTATTGTGCTAGGTCACTGACATATCCTTGTGGTCTAACTTACTTCTACATGTGTATTTGAACATGTCCAATGGTGGAGATGGAGGCGATTGCCAATAGAGGTGAACGAGAGACGGTGAGGGAAAGAGAAAGTAGGGAGGGAGAGGGAGAGGGAGAGGGGACGTACACTTGTACTCTACTGACAAAAAAAGAAAGAAAGTGAAGTATAATTATTATATTTGATTTGTGATTATTTATTTGGGTTTATTCTCAACCCAATTTGACATATCAAACATAGGATTTGTGGGGTTCCACGTAGAAATGAAATTGCTCAGCAGGAGTCTTTTTATCCGTCGTCAGAGGCTGATGTCATGAATCCCACAATCTAAACATGGCCCTAGTATAAATAAAAAAGATGGTAGTTATCAATATCTAATTAGTTTAACCTGAATTGCATTGTATATACAAAAAATTGTGGATATGTGTCGTATAAATTACTTATTTGCGAAAAAATACATTGTTGACACTCTATTGCAAATAAGTACTACTAAGTATAAATTTATTATGTCTACATACACAATGACAGTTTTTAAAATTTTTCTTTTGCTGAAATATCATTTTCCATAATTTATAGACTGTTTAGTTTGACAATTCCCTTTTCTGTGGGATTTGTTTTATTAAATCAATGGTTTCCTATTTTAGAAGATTAGTATATTTGAATTTTAAACGTATATTATCTTCTTCTACCTCGACGGCGGGTGTTGATTTGCTTTCTTAAAATTTCTTCCACATAGATATAATTTCTCTTCTTTACGTTTGTATGTAATTGATTCTATCTAGAATTCTCTTCCCCTCTATTAGTTGTAAATTCTAGACTAAAATCTCACCATTGCACGATTTCAACAAAAGAACTAAGATTTGAAAAAAAAGGTATCCATAGATTTCATTCACCCACATATTGCATATTTCATTCATATTTTCGAAAAAAAAAAAAAACTTTGATAAAATCACAATAATCTGGGACAAGAAGTTTGTGTTTTTTACATAGTGTGACATCTATAATCCGACAAGCACATATATTGCTTTTAAAGAATGATAATGTTACATCATAGTGTAACAACACAATAAACACTATTGTATTTGTCACTTTGTGAAAAAAAATTAAATTAAATTTCTTGATTCGTACAGTATGGGTAAAATAATATGCTTGTAACAATATGATGTCATACTATGCGATGCATGCCATTTAGATTGTGTATAAATTAAAGAATGTAATTGCACATTTTTGTCAATAATTAAAGAGGTCATTAGGTTGTTACATTGCCATGTCACACTGATTCATATGAATCACTGTGTGTCTAACACAGTCATTTTATTCACACAGGCATGGTGACATGATTTTATCAATCTATAATTAGTTACCTCGACATTGTCGGCGATTACAATTGAAAAAGTTGACGATCGGACTTCAAAGGTGCTCCATCGTATGTACACCAATTTCCATGGGTACGCTGCCTAATTTTTTACTGTTTAAAAACCCAGTAGTTTGAGCCGGTTAGTTTTTATTGTGGGTATATTTGATATTTACAAATAAAAAGGACATCTACACAAATAGTTTTACCCGAAGAAATTTTACACAATTAAGTCCTAAATTGTGTATCAAAACTACAAAAATCCCTCGTATATATATGAAACTTGGCCCACCAAGCCAACCAACCCATTATTACCCTTTCTTATTGACAATATTAATGGGCCACCAGTTTAACCTAAAGGATTTCTTATAGGTCGGTACTTTATGTAGAACTTATTTACATAAAAATCCTTCAATTAAAATATTTTGTGGAGAAGTCCTCTTTTTTTTTGTTCCAAAAACATCCACAGAAGTAACTGAACATACGCTTATCTATCTTTGAAAATTGTCGGATTCCATTCACCATCTCCACAAAATTCGGCCACTAATCAAGGCCCCAAAACTCGATTTTTCAAAATTTGAATAAACTTCCTCAAATTCCTTCGGTTTTCAACCATAAACAAACTACAATCCTCAAAAAATGAATTAAGAGTTTTCTATTTTAATGGGACAATGAATTTGAATTTTTAAACAACATTTTCTTTCCTTTTCTTAAAATCTCTCCCACAGATTTATAATTTTCCTTTCCTAAAATCACTCCCACATAGCTATAATTATATTCCTTATGTTTGTATATATTGATTATATCTAGAATTCTCTTCCCCTCTATTAACTGTAAATTTTAGCCTAAAATCTCTCCATTAATTAGTTGAAATTAATGTCACTTTACATTTTTATGCTATGATGTAACATAGTAACAATGTCATTCATTAAAAGTACTATTTATGGATGTCATATTTGTGATATCACATTATGTGATGCATACCATTTAGATTATATATGAACAACTTTTTGTTAGCGATTAAAGTATTGATGAATGTGTTACACTGTTATGTATCACTACAATGTAACATTATAGATGATGATGACCCTAGCTTCAAAACAGACGTCGATTTTGTTTAGATCTTGCGTCGTTTTTAGATGATTTAAATGTTCAAAAAAAAAAAAAAATCGTTCATACTACGAAACTGCCTATCAATAAAACCAAATCCCCATATAAAAAGCAACTGCCAAAATACAAACACTATAAAAATAGGGAAAGGGTATTATAGTAAAAAGAAGAATAAAAAAAATGTCATTGTGTATTTCTCTATAATACATTTCAACATAATGGTACTTATTTACAACACATTTTTTTCAAGGTCATTTCTCACAAAAAAGTCTTCCACAGGTTACCTACTCGTACATTTCCCTAACCTAAAAAAGTGTGAGCCAAAAAAGGGGTGCAACACCTCTCCTGTTAGGCAAAAACAGCACAGTGTGTTGTTTATAGGAAACAGTGTCATTTTAATTAAGTTTTGCAGTTAAAAATTTTTCTCCAAAGAAAAAATGAGACAAGCCTTTAAAGGTTCCCCTTTTCGCCCTTTCTTGGGTGTGGCTCCTCTGCAGTTAGACAAAAACAACATGGTGTGCTGTTAGAGGAAACGTCCACGTTTTAATTAAGTTTTGCACAACAAATTTTTTTTCCGAAGAACAAAGCAGTGGAGCTAGCTCTTCGTAACCCTTGCCAAGCTCCTTTGCACAAAAGCTTGCACATTCCAGACTCCTCTCTCTCTCTCTCTCTCTCTCCCGCGCACACACACTCAATCTTACTGCTAATTTCACTCCAACAAATCCTTCTCTACAAAATTAACAGAAGTTATCACCCACTAAAACCCTTTCACGATGTTTATCACACTAATTTTGTTGATAGTTCTTTCAGCAATCATTCTCCTCACCAATGAATGACTTTTAACATCAACATTAGACCTGGCTCATTTTCAAGAGAAATGCACCGCTCTATTTTGCAAATGTAGATTTATTTCCTTAATTCTTTAAATATGAATTTGATGTAAACACTTGGTACTTGATGTAAAAGAGGGAGGGTTAAAAGTGGAGTTCTATAATGGTAAGGTGGAGGGGGATGAGTTTTCCAGTAGGGATATTGTAGAGGAGATGATACAATGGCTAGGTGAGACTTAGCTTAGATGGAAGACTCTTTTAGAGAGAGACTCTTTTTTAGAGGGAGAGGGTGAGAAAAGGGGTGCAACTCATCTGCTGTTAGGCAAAAACAACACAATGTGTTGTTATAGGAAACGATGCCATTTTAATTAAGTTCAACAGTTAAAAATTTTTCTCCAAAGAAAAAACGAGACAAGTCTTTAAAGGTTCCCCTTCTCACCCTTTCTCACCATCTCCCTCTAAAAAAGAGTCTCTCTCTAAAAGAGTCTTCCACCTGAGCTAAGTCTCGCCCAGCCATTGCATCATCTCCTCTGTCGTATCCCTACCAGAAAACTCATCCCCCTCCACCTTACCATTATAGAACTCCACTGTCAACCCTCCCTCTTTTACATCAAGTACCAAGTGTTTACATCAACTTCATACTTAACCAATTAAGGAAAAAAATCTGCATCTGCAACAATAGAGCGGTGCATTTCTCTTGAAAATGAGTCAGGTCCAATGTTGATGTTGAAAGTCATTCATTGGTGAGGGGAATGATTGCTGGAAGAACTATCAACAAAATTGGTGTGATAAACATCGTGAAAGGGTTTTAGTGGGTGATAACTTTTGTTAATTTTGTAGAGAAAAGATTTTTTGGAGTGAAATTAGCAGTAAGATGTGTGTGTGTGTGCGTGAGAAAAAGAGATAGAGGAGTCTGGAATGTGCAAAGTTTGTGCAGAGGAGCTTGGCAAGGGTTACAACAAAGAGAGCTAGCTCCACTGCTTTGTTCTTCGGGAAAAAAAATTTACCATTTAACAACACCCCATGTTGTTTTTGTCTAACCACAGAGGAGCCACACCCACCCAGGGTGAA